TCTCTCTCTCTCTCCCGCCCGCGTCTCTCCTGTCGCGTCTCCTGTCCTCGATCTTAAAACCTTAAAAGCGCATTTTCTTTTAAGGGTTCACTGCACCACAAGCATTAATCCTCTGACGCACAATTAGTTTTCGCCTGGTGTGTCTCAAAGTAAATACGATTATAAAAAACAGCTCATAATTTAAAATTAATAAGAATTAGAAAATAATTTAAGTTTCATAAATAAATTTCTTACAAATTTATGAGATACTTTTCAGAAAATATATCGTATAATATTATCATTCTAATAGATGTCTTAAAGACGTCATACCTTAGAATACCTTAAAAATTTTGAAATATTTTTAGACATTGAATAATTGAATTTAATAATAAAACGTCATATTCTGGTTTTGACATAAAATTGCATTTCAAAATTGAATAATAATCGATGCATGAAAACAAATTATGTGAAATTCACAAAAATTATTATGATCGAAAATGTTTACTCTGTAAAATAATAGAAGTTAAATAAAAGATGAAATCACTTGAATCAATAGAAGAAAAAAAATAGAGAACTCATGTTTACATTAACTGCGTAGTATATAATCTCCGATTAAAGAGAATGAAATGAAATAAAAATATCTCTCGACAATATACATATGTCTGTGTTTCCTCGGCATTTAACTAAACGAACGCCACTTTTCTGCGGCCAAATTGGCCTGTCCAAGATAACGTGCAAAGGTCACGTTCAATATAAAGCGATCCGTATTTAAAGTGACGTATTTAAAGTGACAGATAGTCGTATTTGAAAGTAAAATGAGGCGTCGCGAGGTAATAACGCCGCGAAAGTTGCACGCTTGCGCGCGTGGAAGGAAAATTATACGAAACTCGCGGGATCGTTCCGGATTGGAAAGTATACGGTGGTGGATTAAATGCAGCCTGATTTACGGAGAGCCACGATGAAAATCGTGGAATCCACGATTCTAGGTCGCGTAAATCGACGCGTTGTGATAACGACGCTAAAATACGCCGCGTCAAATACGCCGCGAGTTTATCTCGCGGCATGCCAGGTAAGCCCGCGATGACTCATACGCGAAAATATGAGGTGCCGTCGTTCCCTTTGCGAGTGCAAGCGTTTCGCAGGTACGCCGCGGTACGAGGGACGAGGGGGAGAAATCCGGGGAACGAGGTAGGAGATGCGTGACCTCGATCGCGAATCGCGGACCTCGTCCTCGACGAGTCAATCGCGATCCTCATCGCCCTTCAACGATCCTCCTTCCCCTCCCCCCCCTCCCTCCTCCGCCATCTCAACCCCCACCGGTTTTCTCGATCGCGGAGCGCCAATCTCGGGAGTGTCAACCTCATGATGCATTCAAAGCGCGAAGTAGCTACATAACGCGCGTCTCGCCTTTTCCTTTTTTCCCCCTGTTTCTCCTCGGCGTTTGTACAGTCGATTATATCGACGCCGCCTGCATTCAAAACGGCGCGACGAAAGCTCTTATTGTCGTACTGCGACGCATTTTTTACGATGCGACATTTTTTATCAATGATACTAATATATCAATCAAGATAAAATGGAAAAAAAAAACATGAATAACATTTTTAACTGTTTCGTCTACGTCAATACGTTTTTTAATATCTAAGTTAAAATTTGTGGTACTACTATTTATTTACGTTACGCGGCCACTGGAGATTTATTATGTATTATATGTTTGCAGAATAAGAACATGTTAACATGCCTAATATTCTCAATATTTCTTATACCTTGTGATAAACTTACGTATAATATACATAAATGTAATGTAATGTAGTGCTTAATCTTAATACCAAACATTAGTAAAACAGCAACAAATCACATTTTTTCAAATAGTTTAGACCGCTTGTGTCACGAAATACTGAACTGATAATAAATAAAAAGGATCTATAGACGCATCTGACAAAAAGAACCGCGCTTTTTCTGTCAAATAATAGCGGTATGGATGTGTAAACCAACCAGAAATGCATAGCGAATATATAACCGAGTGGCTTCGCGATTCACCGATTCCCCTCGTTCCTTTCACGAGCGTGGACCAATTGAGTGAAAAGGTGAAGATGGAAAAAAAAAAAAAGATCGCGAAGAGATATTTGAACGCGGAGTTTAAGCGCGCGAGAACAGCATTTCTGAGCGCGTCTGTACCACACGATTTACTCCGCGGTGTAGCTCTCCCCACCTCCACCCTTTCTTGTCCCCTCCCCCCTCCCGTCCCTCGCTGCTCTGTTCCTTACGGTTACTACGCGCCGTAAGATGAGAGAAGGACCGACAAGCATTCAAGGCTCTCGCATCTCGGGGCCGTCGGTAAACACCAGACACCAAACGAAGGCGACCGCCTGCATCAAGGTGCCTATTTAGACGCGACATCAACGATCCTTTTCTCCTTCTCTCTTTTAATCTTCATTCACGCGGACGAGATGAACTCTCTCTTTTTTGCTCGAGAACAAATTCCCATGCCGAGGTATCCGGGCGCATCGCCACGGGGTTCTGAGATTTTCTCCGAAGCCTGACGTTTGGAAAGGACCTTTGGAATTTGGTCGTCTCGTCGTTTTCGTCGGAAACTCGGATACTCTCGCAAAACGAATGAGACGTCCGTTGACGTTTCCGTTGTTTTTTTTTTCTATAGACGCAATTAGCTTTAAAATTTATACAGAAAGTATCTATACTACAAAGCGTTCGCTGACATAAATATATGTCTGATTATATCGCTGATTTCATTATGGCTCTTTGCTTTTATGAATGCTCGAAGATTTTCTCTATCGTCCTAACACCACGAATTATGTTGTCGTATCCATGCATTATTTTTATTTTTGTTCATTATCATACTCACTCTTCAGACACCGTCATTCTTTCAGACTCGGAGAAACACACCTCGCGTTTCCTGTTAAGAGACACTTCGTCGATTTGTAAAGTCAATTTGCCACTATATTTCTTCAAACAAAGTATACGGGCTCGTAAAAATGTGAATTGCTTCCTTGTCGTTTATCAGAAATAAGTCTACATTTTTCTAAATGTCCGGTTTCTAAATGTCAAGTCACCGAATAAATCACTGAATAAATTTTATTGAAATTCCAGTTTTATATCTCGAAAGCATTTCCATCATTCGATTCAAAGCCGACAGCGAGATTTTTCAAAAAAAAGAATACAATAGAGGATCATTCTCGAGTATCGTTCCCAGCAAAGAATGTTACTCTCGAGAAACCTCCGACATAGATAAAGAACGTTTATTTTCGAAATTCATCAGCTGGTATGTTAGCAACACATTTCCCTCGCGATAACGAGGGAAAACAAAGATAAAATTCCTCGAGAGACGTACAAAGGTGAAAAGTCTTTCGATTATCTGTCATTTAAAACACTCGCGTGAAAAGTCTCGAAAAATGTTCCAAAAATCTCTGTTCAGCGATAATTTTTCAGAAGTTAACTCCTTTTCCGATCCTTTCCGAGTTTCCTTTTTCTTTAAAACTCGAACGAGGGGTACGCTTGACGCCCCAATATTTCCCTCCAGGATTTTCATTTCCTCTCGCGCGCGGAAGTCGAGCCGCGTGGAATTCACCTCTCGCACATCTCGCGGCAAGAGATACGCGAGGGAAGCGGAGTGGAGGGGGAGGAAGGGGGAAGGAAATCGCGCACTTTTATTTTTCGCGCGATACGTTCGCACCAACGTACGGCGTGGCGTGCGTACGCGCCCTCGGCACCCGCCACACCCAACGACGCTCGTTGGAATTTCACGCGTGACGACCACCACGCGCCCGTGCGTACGGCAAAGCGACTGACAAACCGTCGAGGCGACTCCGTCGGGCCCCAAGAATGGAATGGAGAGGGGAGGAGGAGGGAGGAAGAGGGGAGCGGGGAGGGAAGGGGAGATCTTCCCTCGCCATACGGCCTTCCCAGCTATAGAGTCCCACCGGCCGTTAGGGCCGTGTTTTTCGATAGTTTCCGTGCCGGCCCCGATCCATTACGAAGGCAAGACGGTACCGCTAAAGGTAAAGGCGAGGGTTGAAGATATTCGGATTCCTAGGGCGGCACGAATGGACAAGGTGTCCGTAGGTCACGCGTCTTTTCTTCTTTCCGGTTACACCCGCCGGGCCAGACGATTAATCGTCGGAGCGACTCGTTATAGATGCGCAAAGTCCAATTTTGTATATTTGAATCTGCCCATCCCCGAAACGCAGGGTCCTTTTTCCGATCTGTGCCGTTCTGTTTCGCGCCGTTCCATTTCGTTTCATTTCGTTTCGTTTCGTTTCGTTTCGTTTCATTCCGTTCCGTTCGGTCCCGCTTTGCTACGCTACGTCGCGAATTTTCAACGTCATGCATTACGTCGAATTTCTCTGGATACACACATGGCCGGTAGTAGTACGCTTCTCTACCTGCTCACCTTCCTTCCCCCTCTCCCCTTTGCCGCCCTTCCTCTCTCCCTCGCCCCTCACTCTCGCCCACCCCTCTTCGTTCTCTACCGTACGCACGCACGTGACGTACGTCGTTTCAGTGGTTCCCAAATCTTTTGGCGATACAGGTAGATAATTTTATACGGAGTGTCCGAAAATAAATTTGCCGCAATTTGCCTTATTTAAAATGCAAAATAAGTTTCTTTTTTTCTTAAAACGAGAAAGAAACAAAAATATCGAAATAAAAGTACTTTTTAAGTTAGTATCGCTTATTAAAAAAACAAACAGCCATTATAAATTAATTTCCATGATGCAAATAAGCAATGTTATCTTATACGCATTAACATGAGATTTATTTGTCAATAAATTTCATGTTAATGTCGACAGAGTATAATTATATAGCTAGATTTAAAAGATTTCAATATCCAATAAAATAAAATTCTAAGAAATTTCGTTTCGCACTTTCCAATAAAGAATATCAATTTGCAAAATATTGACGATTTAAGTATCGATATCGTATTCGCAATGTATTCGTAATAAATATATCCTGATAACTAGAATTCGACTGAAATTTCCTTAGGTTACGATCAAAATTAAAAGGAAGTTTCAACGACGTTGTCAAAACGGATCAAGTTGTACTTGCAAGCTTTAAGATTATTAAAGATTGCAATCCTATAGTACAAAACATTTATTATTTAATATAAAATGTCTATTCTAATTTTCCAAAGACGTTAAAAAATATGTTTATGTTTTCAAATTTTATTAATAAGATTATTAATAAAGAATTATTAAATAGAATTATTAAATTCTAGAAATTCTTAGAATTATTAAATATGTGATACTACAGATTGTGATAATATGTGATAATATGTGTATAATTATCGTTTCAATAATTAAATTATGATGTTTAGAAGAAATATATGGTATATTTTTTTGTGCACACATCTATATAACATTCTTTTCCAGGATTTTTCTAAAAATTTCGATTTCGGTTTCGGCCGAAAAATGGACACTGAATACATAACTGAATATTCGTTTCCAGTTTCGGCGGAAATTAAAAAAAAAAGACTGTCGGATTCTACCGATAATCAATCCAAAATTATATTTTAAGTCGCATACTCTGTTGAATTTTAATTGTTGTACATGTAGATGTCTTCGTCAATGAAAATTTTTGACACGAACAGATCTGAAAAATTTCCCAAACTTCTCGCGCAGTTGGAGAATTTTACTTGCGATACATTTTGCTCGCACTTGAATGCTGGAAAAAAATTTGGAAACCACTGTCAGATATCAAACGCTCTATACCGGCACCATCGGATTCGGTGGTGCGCGTAATTGTCGTGCGTATCATGCTCGTTATGCCGCTCGTCGTGCTTAGCCGACGGCGCACCGGAAAGCTCCGATAACGTGACATCGAGGAAATATTCGCATGAGAGATTTGGTCGATCTAGAAATAAAGAGCCCCGAGGAGGTTGCGTAAATCGCTGACCCGAAATCTCCACCCTAATTCCCGTTCAAGTAGCAATACTTGCTCGGGTGGCATCATGCGATAAGACACCGTTGAATGAGAAGCAATGACCGTTAATAGATTGCTAGGAAATGTCTGTAATACGAATAACCGCAAAAGAATATTTTTAAATCGTACTACACGTATTAAACGTATCACGATACACGTAGATTTAATGACATCGTATATACATATTGCATTTGATATCGATATGAACGCGATTTTTTTTCGCATCGACGATATATTTAAAGATATGTGAAAATAATCCCTCTCATATTTATTATGTGCAAAATTATTTGACGCTAGGCAACGCTATTATTTTATGTTAAAGTTTGCGTTATACTCAGCGGTGCATTCACTCGATCGATGAACGGTCCGTCTCGGACGAGTAATACCTGATTTTATCCTTCGAAAAACCGGTAGGAACGCGAGGAACAGTCAATGGGAATATAATACCTGCCTTGCAGGAGCATTCGAAAGGGTGAGTACATGTGCTCGTTGGTATAATGATATAATAACGCGGATCGCCACGAATGTCATCGCGCTCGTTTCGATCTCCGATTCGCAATCGAATAATATAATAATGGCGAACCGAATCGGTCTGCAGGATGAATCGGATTAACCAACTTCCTCGATTCGCCCTCTCGTGTTTCCAACGGAAAAAAAAAAAATGAAATTACCAGGGTGCTTAATTCCGGCCGTAATGGTTTTTTGGCAACAATGTTGCCAAAAAAAAATATAATTACAAATACAGTAATTTCCATACAGAATTCATTGTCTTAGCTGCCATCGCAGAGGAAATAAACTAAATTAAAAGTCTAAAATTTAAGTCTGGAAATAAACGACTAGATTTCAGTATTTCAAGAATCTGATCGAAAAGTTAAAGATGTACGAAGCATCGATTATTTTAAATCCATTTATAACGATGTCATTGAAAAATAATGTTTCTGTTCAAATACAATGTTTGCCCGCTCTCGATGTAATCTTTGTTATCTGATAGAAAATGAAGCATGTGTGATACATGTCTCGGAACAGACGCAGAATAATTCTCGAAGGTGCGTTGTTTGAATCTTTCCGGCTTGGACACTGTGTTGACAACTGTTGTCACACTTGATCGTTCCAGAATTATCCATTACGAAATCGCGCTATTGTGCGTCTGGCACACATTACACGTTATCGCGCGGTACAACACCGTAATATCTCTCACTCGTATTAGCATAGCTCTTCAAGATTTATGCATCTAATGCTCGTTGAATATATACAATTTCACTCGATGGCAATCGATCTTTTTATAGCGAACAGCGAGCAGAAAGCGGGAATCGATGCGCAGATCTTATCTCTCGGGTGAGCTTCCACCAGAAATATCAAGATTCAGCAGAAGGAGAAAATATTATTTATTTTACGTGAGATATATGATCTATGTGCGGAATAAAAAAATCTCTTCGTATTCAAGCGACTGTATCTCCCGAACGATACTCAGCTGGGATCTTCTGGCGGAGTACCGATTATCGCGCGTTTAATTATGTCACACTGTTACGTTAATATATATCACAGACGATGTATATATATATATATATACTAATAGCTTGTTTATTGCACTTAAGCGGTCGTTTCCTGTCTCATCCGCGTGTATCTAGGTGTAGGCCCTCTGTGTACACTTCTGTAATGCACATTCTTGTGGCAAAAGAGCATTGCTCCCTTCCCCACTCCCCCTTCTTCGTTAATCCCGCGAATGTGTCCCCGTCATGACGAAACACGCGTTCGTCGCTGTGAATTAAAACGGCAAATTATACAGGGTGCCGCACTCGTCGCGCGCTTTCTCTCGGTTAACAGATTCTTTGAATGATTCTCTGGTACATACGCGATACCTGGCGCACCCAGTATAGTAAACATTTCGCATTTTCAATTACGCGTAGGTAGGTAGAAGATAGTAACCCGGGACGCTCTCCTAGAATCCGTTCCTTTTCATCATCGCAAATCGATTTAATAATGAGAATCGAATGTCTCTACACGCAAAGAGCAGAGTTTTGCTGGATATATACGTAGAGTTCAAAAACAATTCTGTTGGGTCATCAAAATAATTATGTAAAACGTTCAAATTAGAATATAAAAAGATTTTGCAGTATTATCATCATGTTTAAATGTCCTAATAATTTCGATGCTCTAACAAAATTATTTTCCAGATCCATATCTGATCAAATTTTGAGATCCTACAGCAACATTGTTCTTCCTCTTTCCATGTACGAATTGAAAATATTATTTAAAAAATAAAGGTCATTAGCTTCTCATTCGATGTACTGAATTCTATTATAAAGATGAACCCGTAGAACAATACTTTTTGTCTTACAATATAATACTTTCGATGTAAAATTTTCTTTTTAATTAAAAGAGTTTCAGAGGCTTAATTATGTCGTTCAGTAATAAAAATTCTAAGGATCTGTTATTTTTTTATATTTAAAAATTAAAAAATAATTTTTTCTTGTAGCAAATGATATTTCTCGTAAAATTTTCATCGCGACTGCCATGGACCGTGATTCTCTATCATAGTTTTGACAATAAAGGATCGGCCTCGCCGGGACGGTCGCCGATGACACGGCGCAGGCACCGTGCACAGTCGACAGATTTTATCAGCTGCTCGCTCCCGAGCAGAACACGAGCTGCGCAACGCGGGTTTTTAATTCATATCCTCGCGCTTTCGCATTCGCGGCCGTCAGATTTAATGCCGTTAGGTACTTTCTACTCATTCACACTTTCTATACATTATCGCCGTTCCAGTGGAAGTGCCGACCGCCGCCGGTCGTGCCAGTATTTTGATCCGCATACGCGTCTCGCGACGCGGGGAAGGAAGGTACAGGTATCTTCTCGCGTATATACCCCGAGTTCCTCCGGTTCTGGTCTCGCGGATCTTTCCTACGGCACTGCCGAAGGAAGCCACGAAGGAGCACGAAGGTCGCGGGTATGTCGCCTTGCATTGCGTTGCGTTGCGTTGCGTTGCGCCGCATCGCGTTGCGTTGCATCGTCATTACGTGGAATACCTCCAAGTGCCGAGTAAATCTACGACACATGTCACTGCGAGCAACAAATCCCGGGATATTTTCATATGCCTGGGTGAAACGATCTTTTCGACGAAGCCATTGATATCGGATATAAAATGGGCACAAAACCACCAGCGGTTCTCATACGTTAACTCGACTAACAGACTAAACTTTCGTATTTGCATATCCGAAGCTACGGTGAATTCTTTCTACGATGATATAAACGTTCTTGACTAGCTCCTATATTGCACGATGATGACCAAGCCGCGAATCGCTTCTATTAAGGATAAAATACAAAATTCAAACGATAGATTGAACGAAGAACTATTAAATAATAATTAAATAGCATTTAATAATAATTAAATAGCAGATAATACAAAATAGCTGCTAATACAAAAGTAATATAAAATAGATACAAAAATTAATAAATAAAAGTTTCGTTGATATTGCAATTGATTTTAAACTTCCGTTGACGTTTCAAGCTCGAATGTCCTCGCGTTTATCTCTGATTCTGATACAAACAGACAAGTCGCGATAAAGTATCTCCGATGACGCATTCTCTGCGTTTGAGAGGACACTTGCGAGGACAGGTTACGGGTAAATATCATTTTTGTTAGAAATTAATAATTTCGTCGTAGACTCGTCGATTGAGATTCGGAGATTCGGTATCGACAGCGGTATATTTGTTACACGCATATGTCGATCGGCGAATGCTAACACCGTAAGAGAACACCGCGTGAGTGAAAGGCAAGCTAATAATCGGCAGCGTTACGAGAGACGTTTAAAAAGTTCACGTTTATACGTACTACTGTCGCGGTGCCCACGCGTGGGAAACGTGCGTTTAAAGCGCGGAACAATTTACGTTGCTTTTATTACCTCGCGTGATACAACGAAACTCGACGGCGAGGAGGTCGAGTGTCAACGTACGCGACCGATCTATTTCTATTTCTATCTCTATTTTCTTTAACGATCCTTATGTTTACAGCGCCGTATGTTGTATACATTCGCGTCCGTGTGTTTGATCAATCGCGGTGCTCTTTCGCGGGCTACGCTGGTATCAGGCGTAAAAGGAGGGGTGCGTTCAAAAATAACACCCGAATGCACCCAGATATCATTTTATCCTTCTTTAACATTCAACAAACTACAAGAATAAAATGATATATCCAGTGTCTTCGAACCCAGTCCAGATCGGGAGATTCAATTTTTTTTTTATAAGCCCCGTATCTCATGTTATAGCAATCGAGTAGAGATGTACAAATGTGAAATTCACGAAATTATTTGAATTTTCCTCGACGGAGTTATCGTGGCACGTCATTGGTAAGGTACCGTAAGGTGTCGTGCCGAAGTTTTCGAAGATGCGCGATTCAATTTAACCTTCCGCAAAGTCGAACAGATTTCAGACACAAAATAAACGGAAATAAAAAATTAAACATAAAGAATTAAGAACGGAGGAATTAGTTTTGACATACATACATATTTGGAGGCATTGCTTCATACAGATATAGAATCTCATAGAATCTCGAGGTATTTATTGGTCGAAAGGAATTTTCCATTCCTAATTCTTTATTTCGGACAGCTTGTTTTTGAGTCTTAAATATTATTATTTGAAGATAGATAATTAATTCAAGGAATGTTGTTAACGATCACAGCGATATCGCTGTCGCGATTCGATGTCGACGATAAGCGGCGCGGTATCAACAGGTCCGCCGATGCGTCGTGTCATGTCGCGTTGTGTCACCGTCACGTCGCGTCGCGTAGCCACGACGGACAAAGCGAGGACGCGCTGCCCGGGATCTCTCGAATCGCCGCACCTTCGGCTGCGTATGTTACACGCGCGCGCGTGCAGAGGTACACGTATTTACCTGTCGCTTCCGTGACGAGGACGCGATTTCGCCCTCGAGGTTCCGCCTTGAAAATTCCACACCACTGCTGCTGGCACTCCGCCTGTACCGGCGCCGTTGCGGCACCACTCGGTACCACCTGACTAATACGCGCCAAGAGTCTTGCGTGGCCCCGCCGCCACCGCCGCTGTCGTCCTCGTTCTTTCTGCGTCCACTCGTCGTGCCGCCGCCGATCGCCGATCCGCCGCGCCGAGCGTCCGCTCGGCGCGCATATCTAGGCACATCCGATGCTCAGGAAGCGACGAACGTAACGAACGCGCCACGAGCGATGAAACAGACACGATGGAATGTGAACGCGGAGAGGCGCGTGAGAGAAAGCTCAAATCCTCGATCCTCACCGCACGCGTCGCCTCGCGGCACTGGGAGCTGGGAGCTGGGAGGGGAAAAATCGTGTCGCGGCGGCGCACACCACCGTAGTGACGTTTGCGTCGAGCGTGCTCGGCGAGCCGTCGGGACTGTCACGGGACCGGGGGCCCGTCGATCGGCCGTCAATACGCGCGAAATCTTTCTCTCTCTCGTACGCGCACGCGCACGCGTACTCGCTTCACCGAGAAAATGTATACAACGTGATTATAAGCGCGCAAGCATGAGCACGACGTACACACGGCGTGCGAGGCCCAGTGGACGCCGACGCTTATATCGCTACAATAGTCGTAATTACTTAGTGATGTTGCGTGCGACGCGCATGCGCCGCCATGAAATGCTAGAGATGCAACAGAGCAAAAGTCCGCCATTTTTGTCTGCCAATGTTGTTAAATACAGCTGCTTCTCTTTTAATACAGTTGACGTATTTGAATATATTATAAAATTCATTGCTGATATTGAAAATTTATAGTTTACGTGACACATATATTTTATATTATTAGCGCTAGCAGTAAATTTTGGAACACATTTGAATCATTCGTAAATCAATCGCTTTCCATTAACAATTTTGTTCAAATCACGGATGCAAGAATATATGGATGGAGAATAATGCCGCGGGGTGAAGTACAAAAGGTGAGAGGCTGTAATGGTGGCGATATGGGTAATCTCACGAGCCTCTAGTAATCTATTACGTCTCGGCCAATACTGAGCGATGTGAAAATAGACAAAAAAATTGAGGTCCCAAGGTGGAGGTCCCTAGGCCGCAATTTTTTCTTTCCCTCTCAGATTTAATCCTCGCGCCTAAAAAAATATTTCGTAACTCCATTCATACACTCGTACACCCATGGTTTAAATTCGACAATCAACTTCAATTTTCCTCCCGAGAAGAAAAATATCGATGGAATTTGAATAAAATTCTAAATGAAAAATGATTTGAATCAAAATTTTCTGCTAAAATTAATAATAATATATGATACATTATGTTAATTATAAATTTTCTACACTATAGCAACGAATTTTAAAACGCACCCAAATATATTTTCTAAAAGGGAAAGTTTTATATTGTATTAATTAATTTGTATGATTCATATTAATGCCTTTAATTTCTAGTCCATTTTTATCAATATTTGTTAATTTTAACTTGCTCAATTTAATTTACTCTTTATTAAGATCAATATTCTCGAGAATATTTATTTCTAATAAAAGATAAAGACAAAGAATAAAAAATTATCGTAATATGAGATATAGTCTACTTGATGCTATAAATACTTCGAAGCATTTCGCATTTTTTGATTGATCAATTCATAAAATTCTTCGTTTTGATTGGTTAATCAAACGCTTCGAAACTTTTGTAGCGTGGACCGTAGTTTAAGTTAAACAGCGGGTTAAATTTGAGAACTGCCAACTGCAAAAATAAAAACTTCGTCATTTCTAACCTAATTTCTTGTTGTAAACATTTGTATTTATATTTTAAAGCATATACATATAATAATTATATAAATATTAAAAAATTATATTCTTATTTTATTATTATAATTCACACTCTATACTCTACTCTATACGCTTTTTCTTTGCTATGAATAGATTAGAAAGTACGAGACCAAGACCGATTTTGGATTTCTTGCTATTGGCAATTCTGCTGGCCAAATTAACCGACCGATAGCGTTAAGGGGATGTTAAACTGACGAGCGAATTCCGACGAAACATTCACATATGTACATAGATACACAGATACATTTATATCATATACATACATACACTCGTATACATACATACATACATACACTCGTATACATACATACATACATACATACATACATACATACATACATACATACATACATACATACATACATACATACATACATACATACATACATACATACATACATACATACATACATACATACATACATACATACATACATACATACATACATACATACATACATACATACATACATACATACATACATACATACATACATACATACATACATACATACATACATACATACACTCATCATACATTTCTGTACACACATATGAACAAATTTTTGTGATACTCCCTCGTTCGTATAAGTGTCTAAGCTTAATTCTAAAAACTCAACGTTGCTTCTTCATGTAACCTTCTAGTCTAGCAATATCAGTTTTATAGGTACAGGCTGTAAAAGTTTCATATAAAGCAAATATTTACGCGACTTGACAGCTTTGAACGCCATTTTAAGGTACCAAAAGGCAAAAATAATCTAAATTTAAAAATTTTTTCTCGTTCTTGATACGAAATTCATATGCTAAACACATATTAATGCATAAACTTTAATTGTGGAAAAGAATTTCCAGATCTATAAAGTTAATAAAAAATGACAGCAATACAAAAATTATTGCTTTGTCGATAATACAGACAAATTTAGCATCGCTTTAACCGAAGTTGATGAGCCAGCCCTAATAACGCCAAGTGTACGTTAACGATGACAACGCACCTTGTAGCGTATTTTCGAACTAAAACAACTTCGTACGTGAAGTTACCTTTCTCTGTTCATTTCTCCTGATTTTGCTCTTTCTCTCGATATTGAAATAAGATTTTCTGCTCCCAAATACAATCAATATTGAAAAAAATGCCACTGCGAATCAATCGAAAATACATTGAATTGGCTACGAAATGGTGAGTTTTCGATATTTTCAGCACACTTACAGAATGTCATATAACCACGACTCCAACCGATAGCGCGAGTAAATTAATCTTCAATAAATAGCACAATCGATATAAAAAAGACCCTTTTAGATATTTAACTTATTTCTTTTTCTATCTAAATTAAAAAATATATTTAATCTAGAATTAATAGGATCTTCTGTTTTATATTATCTTTTACATTTTAGGATTCCAACTGCAACAGCTTATGGAGGCGGTGCATCGTTAGCATTATTGTATTTCACAGACTGGAAAGTGGTAGTGCAATATATTCCTTTTTATGGTAGCAAGTTTCAAAACTAAGCTACAAAGTTTCACAGTAAGATTATGTAATATAATGTAATAGTCTTGTTGGAATAATAGCAACTCTATTGTATCATACTATGTTTACATGTGTCCTTTGTTCATTTAAATTATAAAGTTCTAATAAAAAAACATATGTAAAATTGATAATGGCGCATTCGATAAGTGGTGTTCATTCTATTTCTTGTTGCAAAGTTTTTTGTTTACGTTTCTCGTAAATCATATTTGCAATTTCCTCTGTTTTCGCAGCCTTGTGTCCCCTGTACCATGGCATTATATGAGTCCTATGGAAAAAAATGATTTGTACAATTTAATATCCAATAAATGTCTGATTTTTGTTTTATTATTTCATAGAAAAAAATATAAGAAACAAGATGTTTACCTACAACATGTCACACCAATAGCCCCAGTAATTGCCACAAGTCCCAACACAGTAAATTTACTAACCAGAAGATTCTTGATTTTCGTTACCGAACTGTAAGATGATTATTATATATTTCAAAAAAACTCTATCCGCGGTCAAATGTATTTCGGCAAAGAACTGGGATTTCCTTTTAAGAATAAAAATAGTAGAAGATTTAACAATGTTTTTATTATTCTATATTTTTATACTTTTCCAATTAAATATGTGAATCAACTTCAATTTTTTCACTATAAAGTGAGTTTATCACTATTAATATTTATTGATAATAACAATAACATATACACACTATCACTATAATTAGAAATTCTAAACTTAATCAAACATTCACAATCGCAAAATATTCGATTAATGTAATCAGTGTACAGGTTAATGTTTAGTCAGGTAAATGTTTTGAAAATATTTATCTAATTACCTCATTTAAATTTAGTTCTTTTTCACGATTTTTCATATGACTTTGCAACAGATTATTCCAATTATACAAACCGGTGCCCACTCCTATAAACAAAACGATATAAATTTGATCCTTGCGTAGTCCTCGTGGCACTCGAATTTTCATATTAAGAAACCTTCTGATAATAAATGATATACAGACCGCAAAGCAATGCAACAGATATATACTGAATATATATATATATATATATATCATACAAATTAGTAGTGCATGTAGTATGGATTTTTATTTATTCATTATTAGAAACGATTTTATTTAATTATATAACAATTTCATAAATTTCGAACACTTTAATAGTAAATGTTCGGCAATTATGTAAAAATTGTTAAAATTTTATTAAAATTTTATTAAAATTTACATAATATCAATAATTATTAAAAATATAATTTAATAAAATAGAAAAATTATTTTTAACAATGAAAAGACTGACTGCGAATGTAGAATGACCATGCCTTGAAAATCTATTTTGACTAAGGCCTGTTCTACAATGCATATGTGTCGGTGTCGTAAGCCATACAAGAATTGACGAATCAGGTACGATCCATTTAGCGCTACAAAAGCTTCGAAGCGTTTGATTAATCAAAATAAAGAATTCTATGAATTGATCAATCAAAAAATGCTTTAAAGCATTTGTAGCACCAAGTGGACTGCACCCATAATCGAATTTAGAGAGAATACTTGATTGTGATTGGCCCATTCTTACGGCTTATGATCCCCAACACCGACACATCATGCATTATAGAACAGGCCTAATTGATCAATGCGATTGGTCAAATCTTTCTTTATCTAAAGCAGCGGCACACAATGCTTTTTTCCTGCTGATTTGCTAGTTGGATTTGCGTACTTGCTGAACTCTTGTTTTTGATTAATATATACTTTTAGATTGTGAACTGTTTTCTCTTATAATTCAAAAACTAAGCTTTTGATAAAAATTTGGTAGAGGAAAAATTATTTTAGAATCGACTCAGGAATATGATATTTTAAGGACTAAAACGGTTGTTCTGAATCATCCTGTATATATATATATATAT